CTAAACCCTATGTACCCTGAACCTTAAACCTGAACCTTAAACCGGTTCGAATCCCAATAAGCCGTACAAACGCTGTCAGCCCTTTTCCAACCATCTGAGCCCTAGCCTTTAAACCCCAAAGCCTATGAGACCTAAACTCGACGAGCTCCAGGAGCCCAAGAACCCACCTAACCCACTAAACTTGGGGAATGTAATATGTCCCAACACCCGGTTATTCTACACACGGTTTGGGTTCCAGATACACCCAAAACCCCCAAACCCCGACACCCTAAATCCTAAACCCCTTACCCCGATGAGCTGCAAGCCCTAACCCTGAACTCAAACCGAGGCGCCGCAGCTTCCCGTGGCCTGGGCAGGATTTCGGGTTTTGGGGCGAAGAGGGCGTCAGGATTAAGGGGTGTGGGGTTCAGGGTGTTAGGGCACTTTTAGGGTGTAGGGTTCAGGAAAGGTCCATCAAGTGGTTCCAGTGTGCTCCGTACCAAATCCCGGTTCCATTCTGTTTCTGCACACTCAACACGGATAAATCCATTGAGAACAAGTTACTGGATCAAGCTAAGCTGTAAGCCGAAGGCCCAATACCACAACCCATAAACCCCCCAAGCCAGTGCATCCTAAACCGTGGAGCTCTAAATCCCTGAACTCTTCAGAATATGGCACTGGAGCAGTCGCCTAACTCAGCCAAAGGTGACCCCGATCAGATCCTGCATGCTACACATTTAATCACCTTCAATCTTGAACGCCAAGCCCTAAACCCTGCCCAAAACTTGCAACTACACACTCCGAGCCCTACAAAACTCGCATACTCGCACAAGTCTTACCGTCCATATACATGAGTCACAAGCCCCTTCAATAACGGCACCCTAATGAACCCTTCATTGAACCCTATAAGAACCTCATGGAACCAAGGTGGAAAGTTGCCAAGTTGTGCAACGATGACATCATGTTTGTGACTATGTCATGCTTGGAAGCTGCCAGCCCCTATGGCGACTCCGCAGCGGAGCTTTGAAAGACAGCAATTTTGTAGTTGTCTCCTAGCCCCCCCTCGCACCGAAGACCCTTCGTAAAGAATCGGAGCCAACGCGGACGGAGTAACGAAGAGCCAGCGGCAACCACAACACCGTTAACCTCTTCACAGAGCGAAATCTCGCGAGACCATGCAGGTCGCGCCTTCTCTTGTGATGCAGCCGGCACCCACGAGAGTGAGGCGGTTGGAAAAAGATCGCCGTTTCAGCACGTTCTTGGCTTTTTTGCCGCGCATCTGCGCTACATTCGCTCTTTGCACATCTTGTCGTCTGTGCTACCTGCGTGCATGTATGTTATGTATCCATGCCTGCATGTAAGGGGGCGGGCGGTCGAGGCAGGCATGCGGGCAGGCAGGCAGGCATGCAGGCAAGGTAGGCAAGTAGATAGGTATGTAGGCACACAGGTATGTGTGCATGTATGCATGTATGTATGTATGTATGTATCTACGGATGTATGCATGTATACATGTATATATGTATGTGCCGGCATGTATGCGTGCATGCCTACATATGAGCGTATGTAGATTCGTAGGTAGGTGGCAAGGTAGGTACGCCGGTCGCACGCAGGTATGTATGCAAGAATATTTATTGCTTGTTGGTACACAAACAGGCACTAAACAGATAAATCATGAAGCAAGTTGACATGCATCAATGGCCAATGGCCGTATTTTTGTGATACATGTCTCTGTATGCCTGCCTGTAGTCTGTTGTGCGGGTAACGGCAGAACGGCATGTGGATGACCAGTCCGCGCATTCGAGCTGCTGCAGCTTCTCAAGGCGTAGGAGAGGTTGGGACTGATGCAGGCCAGCATGTGGCCCGTCTTGGGCACATGTTTGCTCCATTCAGCTAGGTAGTCACACATGCGTGCTTACGTGATGGAAGCATTTTTGTTGAGTATGTCTTCCCCACAGTTCCGATCATGCCGTCGTTGTGTTATTGATGTTTTTTGGCATCCTCACGGGGATGTGCTCGGATGTCTCCATTACTGCATCGGCGGCCACGGCCGAGCTCGGTGGCATTCTCAGCGGAGTTGCCGTGCAAGGGGTCTCGAGCTTTGTGTTTTTGAAAACTACACCGAATGTAGGAGCCGGTAGTATAGAGCTAGCGATCTGATCCCCTCCAAGATCGTACCCTTAGCAGGCATGGTGTTTTCTGAGGGGGACCGGATACGGCGCCCGCTATGATCTCTTTGTTATCAGTCGCCATGTGCCCCTACCGCTGTTTCGAGAATCTCCCAGATATGGGGCAAAAGCTGGAATCCACACGGACTCCAAGCCTGGCGAACACGATGTAAGTATGGGCGACACCTCCGTGTGCATGTCTAGTGCTTGGTGCCCGGTACCTGTGTTTACGAACCGCTATAGTGCAGGGGGCTAAGCAACATGTCGAACACTCAGTACGCGCTCAGAGAAGCACGAGCAACCTCGCACCACTAACCTTCGGTCCTGGAGTCCTGGAGCCCCAAAACAGGCTCAGGCTTCAGGATGTGCGGACGCAGGGCCCCCAGATCAGAAGTTCGGCCCAAGGGATCCCGAGCTGTCATGTGGAAGGTGTAATATGTGGGTGATGATGGTGGCGAGGGTGCAGATAATGGCTGCTGTTGATGTTGCTATTGCTAGAGTTGACACCGACAAAGAAGACGATGGTACATCTCTTTGCGAAGTGATGGCTAATCTGACATCCTGAGCGACTCCTTCGGCATCGGCTCGGACGGTGTATTGCAAGCAGGCGGCTTCACACGTTTGTTGAGGTTTGAGTGCTGTAAGATTCCGAGGCCAGCCGCTGACCTCTGGCCCCACGGCTTCTGGCAACAGCAGCACTTGAACTTTCTCGCAGGGGCCTCGCGGAGCTTTTTTTCATTGGGACCGTACCTTGACTGTGGGCTGAAAGTCGTGCAGGCCTCTTCCCCCGGATTGATTGTGCGGAGTGATGTGTAGTCTGTTTCTGTGTTTGATGGCTTCTGCAACAGAGCCGACCATGAAGAGTGAGGCGAGTTATGTCGTAAGGTGCACGCCCGTCCCCAGGGCCGCCAGTGTTGTTACTGCTTTTGCTGCATTGTTCTCTTTCTGTTGTTGTTGGTCGTCCGGCAGTGCTTCTGACGTCCCCGCCCGCGCCCCGAACCTGGGGTCAGCAGAAGCTCCCAAGCTCCAACCGCAAGCCATCCTTGCCCGCCAAGAGCTACGTTTTGGAACTTGGCGGCCGTTTCTGGATTTGCTCCAACATGCTCCAACCCTACAGCTCTGCTCCCTAGATCCAGACTGCGGAGGAGACATCATGCCGAAAAGCTTCTGAACGATAGAAAAGCGAGAAACGATTTATGATTTAGGGTCCCGTGAGCCCGAATCCTACACCTTGAGCCCTGTAAAACCGACCCTGCAACACCCCTTTTTTGTTTTAGGCAGCACGAGGACATCATCCTTCGTGTCGGAAGCTTGGCAAAGTCCGGCTGGAGGCTGCTGAAGCAAGAACTTTCCCATGTAGAACCCCTAAACCAACCCTAAACTCCAAACCGCATAGTGTAACAAATCGTGAAGGGAGGAGCAGTCCACTGAATCAAAATAGCACCTTCTGGTTTTTAATTGAGGGCTCACCTTTCCCGACATCGCCGCTTATCCCGAGACCCTGGCTGCCCAGGTCGTGCTGCGGACTGGTGACTTGGGAGTCCGTTCACCCACGTTCAAAACCCAAGCGTTTGATACAAGTCAGCAGCGCGGAAAAACGGGTATTGACTGACGCATCGTCAACAAGAGGAGGGGAGCTGTAGCAGGAACAACTATCTAGCACGGGAGACAGTTGCAGCACAGGTTCAATTAGACGTTTTCTGTTGAAAGTGAACCAGTAAGAAGCATTGTGCCACGCATTGGTAACATACACTCTGCCCGGTGTTGATGCATGAACATGTTTGTGTGTTTGGAACGAGGGTAGGGCGGCTCGTGGACAAACTAAGGTTTGGGTCAACATCTGTCACCAAAAGCGGGTTTTCTCTGGCAGCATGCACCAATGCTTTTGCTGGCGATACGTTGAAGGATGCCCACATAAACCAGCGTGGGTACTGGCATCGAATTATGCTCCGTTTGACCCAGCCACACCTGAAACCCCCACACGATATCTGTAGTAGCTCTAATGCACACTACCCTTGTCTACGTTGGGCTGAGAAAGTATGAGCATATGATTGGTATGTCATTGTCTTTTTCCTCGTCTCTATGTGCCGTGGAGCAAAGCGTTCTCGACCACATCTGCATGTCGATTTCCCAGCTCTGTTTTCCGCAGAGCATGAAATCAAAGCAATACCAAACAAGGACGGTGCTCGTGTATCGCACGACAGAGTCGAAAGCATCATGGTGCCGAGCTTGGCAAAGTACACAGGCGAAGTTGAGTGGCAGGGTAGGGGAGCCTGACTCGACGATCTGTGATGTGTTGAAGAATGAGTTCTAGTTGCTGAGACAGAGGTCTGACAAATGAGTACTGATACACCTTCTATGGATACACTCCAAAATGCCCCAACTAAGCCGCCGGAACTTGGAACTGAAATTGCAGGGAGCTCCCAGAATTAGGTCCAAAGCATGTAAGTAAGGTGTCTAACGTTGTAGGCCTGGGCTGGGAGACCGCTGTAGTGCCCGCTGATGCTGTCGTCAGTACTATGGGGATTTGAAACAGCGGCCGAAAGACACCTCTTGTCGTCTGTGCATATCCTAACCCTCACACGAAGCCTCTTGCGGCTTGAATCGCTGAGATGATCCTCTCAGCTCTCATGGCTCCAATTCACAGCATTCTTTTTCTGATCTTTTGTGGAGCCCTCGGTGTGCGCGCTTCGAGTCGTTGCGGTGTACTAGCGATGCGGATCTCGCATCGTTTTGTTGTTGTTGCGTCTTGTTTTGACGGTTCCCTTCTCATGACATGTACTCCTGACGACGTCCTGTGTGGCTCCTTTCGGCTCAAAAGCCGCCTGCAAAATGCAAGACATTGGTGCAGACGCTATGCAGGCCTGACCGTGGAAGGGGAGGGAGAGCAAGAGAGAGTGATTGCGCTCTCACCCCTGCATGCTTAGACGGTGCTTCGCATTCTCCAGTGGCAAGATTCACGAGAGAGGGAGGGAGAGAGAGAGAGAGAGAGAGAGAGAGAGAGAGAAAGCCGGTAAGAGGCGGGCAGGGGCTTAAACTCGCCCCCTCAGTCTGGGAGAAGAAGAGAGATAGAGAGAGAGAGATAGAGAGAGAGAGAGAGAGAGAGAGAGAGAGAGAAAGACAGAGCGAGAGCGAGCGACAGGGAGAGATGACTCGGTCCGTTGCCAATGGCAGGGCCAGAAGGGTACTGCCGCTGCTGCTGCTGCTGCTGCTGGGATACGAGTGCAGAATACTGGTGTACATACCATAGTGCGTTTTATAGTAGAGTTGTAGAGCATTCTTGTCGTATACGAAAGACATGACAGGCATTACGTTCAAATCTATTTTCGCATTATAGTAGACCCCATAGTATGCAGCAGGATCTCGGGTGCAGGATGCATGCCCGTCAACCTTGAACGGGTTGAACAGGTGGCTTCCCTCTACTGTACAGTTAGAAAGAAATTGGGGAACTTGGGACTTACATGTTCTCTTGGGATTCGTCTGAGGTCTGGTTTAGGGTTTACTCTTCAGGGTGCGAGGCTTACAGCACGTTTCGGACGTTTGGTATCTCAAATTTTCGATCCCATAACACAGAATTCTGGCGGGAACCGGGCATCACGCCAGAAAGATTCTTTCTTCGACAATCGACCTGGTATGACCTAGTTATGGAAAGCTCAAATCCGTACTTGACAAGAGCACGATGGAGCTGGTCCTTTACAAATGCTCCTAGGTTGTTGTTTTTGTTCTCATGAAACTCCACAAATGTTTTAGACTAGCTTGCAAGAGCTGGACCCGCAGCCTGTTTTGCCCCCCTGGTCTAGATGTTTCTTGAGCGCACGCGACGGCTAAAGAGCACCACGACGAACCTTCGTCAGATTGGAGCTGGAGGAATCAGCATGAATCAGCAGCTTTACGTGCGAGCAATGTAATCAAGCCTTGCCCCACAGAGCCAGGAGGGCCCTCGGCTTGCAGGTTTGGGAATTTGTCTGACAGGAGTGGCCAGGTTTCTTGCGATTTGTCTTTCCGATGCCTGAACTTCAGATCTGTACCGGCCGGGAATGACCTTTACATACGTGTATGCACGTGCCCATACCCCGCATTCACCGTGCCACCAGGCGGACTACCTTGTTATCGGTGCTGGCCCGGCCGGTCTCGCAGCTGCCGGATTCATTGCAAAGGCCTGGCAGATTCCAGTACAGAGTTTCAGGGAACTAGAAAACGGATGTCTAGATACAGCTCTGTTCATGGACGCTCATGTCCGTATTCACGTACAAACATATGTAGCGTGGACCATTGCAGTGTACAGTATACGTCAGTGCGCACGAATGTGTTTATGCACAGTGTGCACTCAGACTCATTGCTTGCGTGCGCATGTGCGTACGTGTGTGTATATGTAGATATGCATACGTACGGATATATGTATACATGTACTGTATTTGTGTATGTGTGTATGAACGTAGGTCTGCAGGTACACATGTACGTATGCATGCATGCATGCATGCATGCATGCATGCATTGTGCATGCGTGTAGGTATGTAAGTCTGTGTGCGCATAATCTGCACATATATATATTTACATATCCTGTTTGTTTAATTTGTTTATTTGTACGCACCTGTACTTGTGCACATGCATGCACACACACACACACACACACACACACACACACACACAAATGTGTGTGAGAGAGAGTGTGGGTGTGTGGATTTTTGCGTGCTTCTATGTATATGTCTGATTATGTATGTATGTGTATATACATAGTATATTATATATATGTGTGTGTAGACATACACACATGCATAGGCACATGCCTGTCTGTAAAACCTTAGAGAACAGCTTGGCAGGCTGGCTCCACGGTGGCGGTCTTTGATGGCCGAGCACGCCCTGAGAACGTCTCCGGCTCGTACCCGGTCCATTGGGTGAGTCAAAGCCAGTAGCGTTTTTTTTTTTAACTGGAGGGGTTCAGTTTGGAACTATAAGTGCCTTATGGGCAGATTTCCCCAGGTGGTGCTGAACGACAAGGGCTTGTTTGCGTTGAAGCGCCTGGATCCGGCGATCGCGGCGAAGGCCAAAGAGACCGGACTCTCAGTGCAACAGCTGCACGTTATATCCGACAACACGACGGTGAGAAAGATCCCTATGTTTGGTATCTGCATCATGCGAGACCAAGTCTCCAGTTGGCTTTTAGAGGCCGCGGAGGCTGATGAGAAGATCTCCTTCTTTTGGGAGCACAAGCTCGAGAGCATTGATTTTCAGGCTCGGACCTGCACGTTTGAGCTTCCAGATGGCTCGCAGAAGACCGCAGTTTCCCAGCGCCTGGTCGCCGCGGATGGAAACCGCTCGAAGGTTCGGCGCTTGTGCCAGGAGCACGTGGCAGACTTCAGCGCCGATGCAGATCCCTGGCCATTCCAACTGCGCTTCATGAACTCCAGGGGCGTTCCGGGACAAACTGAGGTCAACACAGACACTCACTTTGTCCTTGGTGACAAAGGCTACGTGTGCCTCAAGCCTAGCGGTGAGTGGAGCATATACCTCCGGGTACAACCAGAATCTGATGAGGAGTTTCTCACGAGCATGGAAGCGACGGATGACAACTTGCAGAAGCTGAAGGAGTATGTTCAGACCCACGCCAAGTTCGCGGCCGACAACTTGCTGGATGAGGAGGCTGCAGCCTCAGCTTCGCTTCGCGAGTCCAGTTCATGCGCACATGCGGCACGTGGGCACATTTGCTAATTTGCAGAAAGCTTCCGAGCCGCTTTCAACAATTCGGAGTGCAAGATCAGGCTTATCGCAAGTTCTATGACTGCGAAGCCTTTGGCGGCGTCGTTGTTAAGTGCTCCTCCCTGAGTCCGGCAGGCGACAGCTGCATGTCCGGATGTTGTCACATAGGCCATAGGCCTCCGAGTTTCTGATTGCCCGTATCAGAGCACAACCTTCTGCAAAAGACTTCAAACACCAAAATGTGGCCGAACAGAGCTTCGATGAGATCCCTGTGCGGCTCGACAGACCTTGTTTAGAACAATCAGCTGTGACCTCCTGAAGACCTGGAATCATGAAACCGAAGATCGAGAAATTTCCCAAAGTACCTGGGAGCTGCCGGACAGGCTGGATCTGCCTCATCGGGGCTGCCGCACATGCTGTGCAGCCAGCCTTGCTGGAAGGCCCATGGCCTTGAAGCCACTTAAAGCATTCATGGAACTCGGGGCGCGCGGAAGACGCTTGGTCTTTGTGAGCTCTCAGCTCTCGAGATGTGTCGGCCTCTCGAAGAAGCTTCGCAACCATCTCACTCTATCCTTCTAAAAATTACCACTACGTACTATCACCACCGTTACCTTTCCCTCGACGACGACGACCGCTACGACAGCAACGACAATAACAGCAGAAATGAGAACAACCACGACGACTGCTTCTGCTCCTGCTGCTGGCACTGCTGCTGTTGTTGCAACTGTGACTCGTACTGCTCCTGCTCCTGCTCCTGCTCCTGCTCCTGCTGCTGCGGCTGCTCCTTCGACGACGACGACGACGAACACCGCTACTGGTCATACACGTACTTGCAGCCGACCAGCGACATTCGCGATACCATAGCCAACCCGACGAGCATGACCATCATTCATAATGATGTTCATCAGCGCAGCAGCATCAGCATGATCGCCATCCACAGCATCAACATCAACATCACCACCATCAGAAAGCATGAACAGAAAAAGCAACAGCATTGTAATGAACATGACAATTAGGGCAATTTCATTCAGCGTTTTGAAAGGCGGAATGGTACCAGGGCCAAGCTATCGACTTCCTATCGATCCCATGCCAGGCATCAACAGCGGCTTGGAGGACGCCTCTGTGCTGGGCATCGCTCTGCAGGCCAGTCCAGGGATGGAGGGGGCTCGTTTGAAGGTGCAGGCTTTGGGAGAAACTCTACAGCGTACAAAGAGAGCACGCTGCCACTCTTTCAAAGCGGGGCTGTTTGGTTGCATAGGCACAGACGGATAGAAGTAGCACTGCTCATGAATCCAAGCTCGTAGATCGGACGCTTCGAGCCCTTGTTGCTTGCATCCTGCGAGTGTTTCGAGGAGAACGCAGAGGATGCATTCGAAGCCTTCGACCAGCGGCGGCCGAGAACTCACGCGCTTCAGAAGATGGCATTGGAGGCCAAGACAAAACGACTGTGACTAAAAAGGGGTGCCACCCTGGGCCAAGTTGCCTCACGTGCTCTGCGCTCGAGGCCAAGAGCCGCGCGGGATTGGCTCAGGCCTGGATCTCGGCGGCCTCTTTTCATGCTGGCGGTCTTGAATCTCCTGGCCATGTGGGGCCATTGGAAATTCCTTCTAATTTGCGGCGTCTCAGTTGGGGTCCTTTTGACTATGTCGCTTGAGTGGGACTCAGTGGGACTGCAGCATTAGCCCCAAGGTTGCAGTCTTCAACTTATTAAGATATTCAACATATTAGCATAGTTTGTACAAAAAGTGTGGATGGATCCCCGTTGCTTTCTGAAACAGTAACATCCGAATCCAGTCCAGGTTGCACAACAAAGCGACAAGCTTCAAGCTAACGGGCTTTCGGTTGAAACTACAAGAGCATGCGTAGTGGCAACCCTGGTGCTAGGGTCAGAGCCGATGGGCAAGAATACAGCCAACAAACCTGGAACCGTTGCCTTGACCTAGAGCATCGCACCTTTTGAGCCTGGTTTCCACGATGGACCGCCTGTTGCAGGTTACATGACGAAAAGGTCCGTAGCATTCTAAAGATGCGATTGGAAGGTCGCGTAACGGCCCTCAATGGCTAGGTCTAGGTGCCTTCTAGACAGTGTCGAATATTGACTTGGGTTTCGAGTCGTTCTCTGTCTGAGCCCAAGAGGGCTTGGGAGGTTCAGGTGTCGGATTCTGTTGATCCGCAAAGCCCCGTGAGTTCCGAAGCACTTCACAGTTCGCAGCTTTGGGAAAGACAGAGTTCTATTAGGGTCACTATAAACATTCTTCTTGACCCGGCTGGTGTTGCGGTCGTGCGGTCCTCCAGCATACGTGTGAACTAGCCCAAGGTCGCTGGGCGAAACGGCGAGTGCTACGGTCGTAGGGACCTCTAGATAGTTTCGGGACAAATTGCGGAAACAGCGAGTGTTAGCTTGTCGGGTCGTCCAGTACAGCTGGGAATAAGCCTGTTTTGGTCCGATCCCCTACGGCAGGTTTTACGCTCGCGGGTCGTCCGATGCACATGTGCGTTGTAGCCCGTGCGAAGCGCACAGCAACGATTGTTCGGCTTCGAAGAGCGGGACCTGGCCTGCTGCCAGTCTTGCAATCTGCCCGGGGATGCCCAGCTCCAGCAGCGGCAGAGTCCCCTCGCTGCCCGAAAACTGTCGAGTCTCGGCGGTCTCTGCGAAGTGTTCTTGGTGCCAGCGTCTTGCACGGACCACGACGCAGCCCCAAACGGGCCTGAAAGCGCCTTCTCCTCGATGCCACATTGACGCAGGATGAGACGTATCCGCACTCGGGCAACCCCCCCAGGTCGGCATCAGGTTTTGGTGGTACTGATGCTTTGAGCGTTGGACATGCCCGCCCCTCCAACGCGAGCAGACCCGCCCACCTAGACATCGCACTCAGCAGGGAACGAAACTCGCAGACCCCCGAGCTTCAAAGGCACCAGGAGCTTGTCGTGCAAAAGTTCGAAAGGTGACGGCTCACAGGCATCCAAATTCATGGGGATGTCTGCATCAAGACTGTATGTGCATCTTCTCTGAGAGCAGTTCAAGGGAAGATGGCCAAGCCTACGGCATCAGGGCTTGCAGAACTTCGAACCTGCATGCAATCTTCCGGGTGACGACGGTATTGTTTTACCAGACATATCTGATGTGCAAACGTCGGTTTATGCGGTTTTTCTATTGCACATTATTGCAGCTGCGAAGGAGGCATAGTGCTTTGAACATGAGCTTTAGCTTCAGCGCTGTCTAAGCAGCTTGCAGACATTAGGTGTTGCTTTTGCGAACTCCGGCCGGCCGCGAAGCCTCACTAGGGCATTCCCAAAGTCTTCTTCGACGCATCACATCTAGACTAGTTGGCCTTAAACGTGGTGGGTTTCGGATAGAGACACCTTGAACCCTCAACCTGCGCAAGTTCTGCATGATGATGCGTTGCTGGGCGGCGTCAGGTCCTGCGCGCTGCCTCTCCTCAGCGGCCGCGGCGCCAGGCTGAGGCAGGGAGCCCAGAGATTGGGGTACAAATGTTAATGCTAAATCGAGTACGAATGCTTACACTCGTACTGATGCTAGTGATCACATTTATTGCGCGAATGCTCATAGTATGCAAACACGAATACGAATAAACATGCTAATACTAATACCAATATTAATACCAATACACATACTAACATGTGTATTAATGCTAATGCAAGTACAGATATTGATACTCATGCTAACACGATTTAGAGTAGATATTACGATTAAGACTAGAACTTAAGCTGAGACTGGTACGAGGAACTATACCATATTGTACTGTACTATACTACACTATGCTTTGGTTCGTTCTACTATAGCGTAATCTTATTGAGAGTTCCCCTCTTCATTGGTTACTAGCCTTTCAAGTCAAAGTGGTCGTGATTACTGTGCCGTAGGCTGTGTGGACGGTCCCGTCAGCACCATGTCTCAGCACATGCAGGTCAGCCAGCCAAGTCGTGCAAGAGCTTATACAGTTAATGTTTTACGCTCTCCATGTGCCTGTGAGTCTTGCATCTAAAATGTAGGCCACCCTCTCGAGCCACATCCTCTACCGCAAACTAGAGTGGTGTTCTATGATTTCTTTAGTATAGGATTGCCAGCAGTCTTTGCAGGGGCACGAGCCGCACTCGCTGGCGGGGGGCCTCAGCGATCCAAGATGTAGTTGGTGGGGGAGTAGGGTTTAGGGCCAAAGTTTAGGGTTTGGGAACCTTATTGGGTCTGAAAAGGTTCTAGGGTCCCGAACACCCCTCACTCCATTCCAGGTCCTTAAAGCATGAATGCACGGAGCACAGCTAAACCCCAAAGCCCACAAATACCCTTAAAGATAGAACAGGAAGTATACGTGCAGGCCCCGCGAACAGTCGCGTAGCCCCGGATCCTGACTGCAAGCCCGGGATTCTGGACCTATATGCGCACTCAGCCCAAGCCCTAAAACCTTGCACATTCTTTGTTTATTTGCGTGGCCCAGGGTTTAGAGTTTAAGGGTTTGAGCTGTTGGCTGCAACCGGGGCTTCAGGGATCTCATTTTCTTGTTGGGATGAAAAGGATGTGAGCCTGTGGGAGGCACCCCAGCGAGAGCATCACCCACCGTGTTGGGGCAGATTCCTGAACTTTAAAGCCTGGACCGCGGTTGCATAAACGTAAAAACGCCCGAACCCCAGGATGAATTGAAAACAACAAGATACAACACACGACTCTCCCTCAGAGCAATGAAGACTGAGCGATTGCCATTCATTCAGGAGGTGCCAGGTAGTATCTAGCATTACAGCATGACGGCCCCGCACTATAGCACTACAGTATACCCCCCTCACAAAGCGAAACCTCGCGAGACCATGCAGGTTATGCCTTCTCCTGCAATGCAGCCGACACCCACGAGAGTGAAGCGGTTGGAAAAAGATCGTTGATGCAGCACGTTCTTGTCTTCCCTCCTGCACATCTGCAATGCGTTCGCTCTTGCACATTCGTCGTGTATGCCACCTGCGTGCATGCATGTATGTATGTATGTATGTATGTATGATGTATGCATGCATGCATGCATGCATGCATGTAGGAGGGCAGGTAGACAGGTATGTCGGTATGCAGATATTCAGGTATGTATGCATGCGTGTATTTGTGTATGCATGCGTGTATGGGTAAATATGCTGGTATGTACGTACGTAGGTAGGTGACTAGGTAGCTACGCAGGCATGCACGTAGGTTACCACGTAGGTATGTATGTATGTATGTATATATGTCTGTATGTTCGTTTACATAGAATATAAGCAGCATGCAGCATACATTATATAAGCATAAGCGTTTGTGCACATGCACATTCTCGCACATGTCGGATTGAGTGTGGGTGATTGAGTTTCTGCATAATCACAATTACATTGAGACCAAACAGATGAATCAAGAAACAAGGCAGAAATGCATCAATGTCGATATCTTCGGTGATATGTGTCGCTGTGGGCCTGCCTGAAGTGTGTCGT